CGCGACGTCGCCTTCTGAAGAAGCGTTCCCAGCTTTTGACGAGGTTGTCTCTCCGTCTTTCGATTACATCGACTGGTCTTTCTGGTTTGACGTGGGGAAAATGATAATGAACTCGAACAACACCATGTCCGAAATCCGCATCATCTCATTCCTCTACGCGGTGTGGGACGCCATCACCGCTGACCCACTACGCAAAGAGGCCATTTGTTTTGACTGGCTGCTAACGGAGGAGGCGTTTGAGAAGTTCTTCAATCACTGGTGTCCCATGGTTCGAGCCTACTATATGCGGTTACTTTGCTGGCGTGTATGCAGGGACTCGGGCAGCCCGAACGAGTTGGACGCGTATGTAACCCCCTTTTTGGCGTGTTTTACCTTTCTTCCCGAAGCTGACGATATTTATTAGTAAAATCTTTATTCTTGTCTCGCAGCGGCTCAAGACTGTGTGGTCCCACTTTCTCTGGCTTCAGCAGACCGCAGAGAAAGAACACCGGATGCCTCCGTCGACGGCCCCGTGTTATCCAACGCCAGGCAAGCGGTTCCTGATTATCCGCACCGAGATCCCGCCAGTGCAGCACGCCCTGCTTCCGGGGTTTGATTCTTTCTCCAGCTCGTTCCCAGGCTCAGACATGATATCGGACTTTCGCGGCTCCGTCCCAGCAAACAGTGACAGCTTGACAGCCAGCGCCAGAACCGAAAGCACCTCGACTGCCTACAGGAAAAAGTGGTCGCTGTTGGGCAGGGTTCTTTCATTTACAGCAACGCAGGCAAACATGGGGTTTGGAAATGTCGCTATTGGTGGAAAACGCACCTGGGACGATGAGCTTGAACAAGCTCGCCGGGAGACAGCTGCGTCGCGGGCAGCTGCGGCGACTGCCCGTTTGGGTCCGCCACCTCCACCTAAACAGGGAGCCCCATCTGTCGTCACGCCGTCCTCAGACTCGGGCTCATCGACCGGATCTGCCCCTGTCTTTGATGCCGCAACATTTGTTTTCCGCTTCGCTCTCACATGGCAAGGCCAAAACGGCCCCGGGGGCGGCAGTCCTTCACGGGATAGGATCATTACTCGGCCGCGACTCCCTGCGCCGGCACAGTCCAAGGTCAGCGCTCGTTCTGCCGCGTTGTTAGCCAACGGCAGCATTGGCGGGGGCTCAGCCATTCGCAACGACAGCCCGCCTCCCATCTCAGCCGGTCTTCCGCCACCCACCCGTCGAATCAGCGGAGTCACGCAGACCGGCTTGATCAGCGAAGCGCGAAATGCGCGGCCTCTGTCTGCTTCCCTAGAAACGGAAACGGAAAAACGAGTGGACAAGCGCCTATCGTTAGGAGTGAACGTCACGGCCATTAATTCCGTTGATAAGATGGCATATGACGATGATAGACTTGATATTCAGTCTCCGATTCGACTGTCAGGAATTGACAGTGACGAATCCGAACGTGGCCGGTCCTTTGACATGGACAGCGACGTTGGCCGCACACAGTTGGCTTCTGTTAGCGCCGTTCGCCCTACTGGAATCTATACGTCAGGCGCCGTGTATGCGGGTCGTGCTCTGGCGGAGTGGGGCATGGTGGTCAGTGAGTGTAACAGCTTCGTGGATCGACGACGAGACGAGGGCGTTTTGGGCTTAAGCGATGTCGAGATTCCGACACTGGGCGTCGAGGGACTTGGAATACGACAGCGAGCTTAGGGAGCTCCAAAGTATTCTCACCGGTTCTCGAGCCCAAATTCCGGACTTCGTCTGCCTGGGCAGCATCCGAGCTGGGCCGGCGTAATGGGGCCCCTTGATTCGAGCCCGAGGTTTTGAGGTAAAAAGCGCGAGCAACTCCGCAGCCTCGGCAACACGAATTACGGCCACGTTTCCCACATCTACGATCTCGATACCGACGCAAAACCAATCTTAATAACACGGCGTTTACACGTGTAGATCTCTCTATTTACATGGCAAGGATATAAGATGGGAATCTCAATAATCCTCTACTCTCGCCGGATTGTATTGTGCGCTAATCACATGGCCTATTTGAAAGGTAGCATTTGGAGCGATTTGCACAGTTGTGCTTGCATTTATCCATTTCCTTCAGCTGGCTCATACATATTTAGCTTTTTTCTTTTCTTTATTTTCTTTCTGCATCTACGGCGTTTTCTAGGCTAGGTTGAGAGTTTAGACGACCTCTGCTACGTTGGTCTCGGGCTTTGTCTTGGGGTATGAGATATTTTAGCGCATCTTGGTTTTATTGACTGGCAAGATCGGTGGCGACATGTGGCATTCTGTGCGGTTAGGCGGGGCTGAGGCTGGCGCGTGGTTTAGTTGACGTGGAAAATAACACAATGTCTTCTTTATTTTTGTTTCGAGCAGTGTCTGGCGACTGCCTTTCAGGCGTATATACATACAACAATATCTTGTAACTTTAACCACCACTGTACCATACTATCACACTGGCAAGTTTTATGTAATTGAGCTTTGGAGTTGGTGATGAATTGCAGGACTGAATAAGGTACAATGTATGTAAGTCTTGGCCGCGGACGTTGGCGATGCAGGTGTCGATAGTGTTTCTGGACAACCAATGCTGAATCCAGCTGAACTTGCCAATCGAATATACGCCTCGTCCAAGCCCGCCGCTGAACCTGTTTCGAGATTGGTGGAGGCGGAGGCGCCTGGGCAGTTTACGAGCTAGCCCCTGAATGGCCGTTGGAGTCGTGGTGAATGAGCCCCGGTGAGCGCGTGACCGACGATGCGCTCCGCATGGGTGCCAAAAGAATACCGCCTACGGATATTTTTATTCGTTTGGGCCTGAACTAGGAGGGAATATCTGGTCGATTATTTGCTCATTGCGAGATACCCCCACTCTTCTTCTTTGCCTCACCCGACGATCTCGACTGTATGTACACGTAAAATTTGGTGTAAATTTTTGATCCCTGAGCTAGTTCAGGACCCAAAATGAACGAGAATACGTAAGTGGTAAGGGGTCTGGCCTTGACTTCGGGATTAACCAACGACGCGGATTTTTCGAGATTGGGAACGCGTCGGGTAAATTAATTCACCGATCTGTATACTGCCCCCTTGTCTCCGACGCTCCGTCAGTATTCGATTTTTGTTTTCAAGTTTTGCTGTCACGACAAAATATCCTCAGCATTGTTCTTCGTTTTCTTTTCCTTTCTTTTTGCAATGGAAAACATGCCGCCCGTCCGCACCGAAACGCCGAACGTGGCCATCGTTGCAAGCGGTCCGTAAACCAGGTACGGCTTCTCCCGAAAGGTCACGTTCAAATGGCAGCGGCAGCGGTCTCCGTCGCCGCCCGCCGCTGCTGCCGGAGGACCGTCGCCGCCGCCGCCGCCGAGCGCCCAAGCAGCACGCCGAGCAGTAGAAGTCTAGTACCGCCCGCAGAATGGCTACAAGCCGCCGCTTAAGCCGGCGTTCGCCATAGGCGAGGACGAAACAATCGCCGTATTTGAGAGTTCCTGGCAATACAGGTTCAATGGAGGACAGCAATGAGGGCTGAGTTCAAGACGCGGATCGGCACCTCGACGAGAGAAATCGTGTTTCAGTGGTTCACTTGACCGAGTACGTTCCGACCGACCTTGGGGGTGGGTGGGGAGAGACAAGTCCGTATCTGGACTGACCCTCTGCTCTCTCGATTTTTATAGCAAGCACCTCAAGGACATCATGAACATGGGCCAGGGCGTGTGCCACGGGCTGCGATCGTTCCGGCTCCTCTGCGAAGAAACGTCCCCCGGGCACCAGGCGACGGCCGGCCTCGTCACGGGCGCCACGCTAGAGATGTTCGCGCGCGCGTGCCCGAATCTCGAGACGCTGGTGCTGCAGGGCGCGGGCAGGGACGTCAACGACGACGCGCTGCTGGCGGCGGTGTAGCTGTGCCCGAACCTGAAGACGCTCGAGATCACGGCCGCTGCCGCCGGCCCCAACAGCTCCAGCATGGGCTACCCGTTCATCTGGCCCGCCGCGCTCCAGGCCATCGCCGCGCGCCCCGACTGGGCGCCGCGCCTCGAGAGGCTCGCCGTCCCGCACGTCCGCGTCGACAGCAAGACCGCGGCCGCCCTGTCCGAGGCCCGCGCGCCCCTCCTCACGGTCGCCCTGGTAACGTCGGACTTCCAGGAGACCTCGTGCGGTGAGGACTGGGAGTTGGTCACTAGAACGAAGTCGTTCAGGGACGGCATAATTATCTAGGTATCCGAATGTGCGTCCGCGCGGTGGTACGCGCTGTGGGCGGATGGTTGTTCTTGCGAGGTGAGGTCGAGTGTGGCTTTTTTTTTAAAAAAAGAGGTACAGGTTTCGAAGCTTCAGAGCTGACAGGAAGAGGCTTTTCTCTTTACTTTGGGAAGTTGGGGACTAGGCGGTTAGTGTAATGGCGGTGCGTTGTAATTATAGATAAAAGAGGCTGTGGGGGATTAATGTTACGGGGGAAAGACCAGGAGCTGGTGCTTTCTCTGGATTTGTAGAAAGGGGCATTTTCAATGTCGGGTATATAGGGTGGTGTTTGCAGACACTCACGCGTTGACAAGAGGTGGTCTAGTTTGAAGAAGAAAAAAGCATTAACAATACGGAGGCGTTTTCGACGAGGCGAGTCGATGACGACAATTGGAATGCAGCATGCATGCATCGCGACTGGCCAGCAGCAATTCAGGCATCAAGGCCGCTGTTCTTGCCGGATCGGGAAGGTGGGTCTTGAAATGACAGGCTTCTAGCGCTCGCCGCTGACGGTAGGGTGGGATGACTGCATGGGGCTTAAGTTCGTGCATCACAAGTACCGACCCGTCTGCAGCATGAGGTAGTATTGTATTATCCGCGGACCCCTTTTATTTCTACGTCAGTCAAGGGAAATGTATATCAATCGCTGTTATGTTCACCCGTGAACTTACCCTCGTATGGCACATTTTCCGGCTAGGGCTCTGCTCTTTAAGCAAAAAATAAGGGTTAGGTTGTAACGAAATAAGAAAAAGAAAAAAAGAATAACGCCTCAATGCACGGCATTATCCGAATAAGAGAAGCCCGACGTGGGACTCGAACCCACGGCCTCAAGATACACCTCTGATTCTCGGTCGGGGAGAAGATCCACATGTGGATTGGGTAGAAGTCTTGCGCGCTACCGTTGCGCCAGCCGGGCATGTTTCGACCGTTCGCATGTTGTGCGATGAGTGGATCTGTGGAAACAGTGCCAGTTACTCTCCACTACATACCCAGGTCCGTCGGATACTTGCAGCGACTGTCGAAAGGTTCAAAGCAAAATATTGGATTTTCAAAGAGAGGCGGCGGTGGTTGCAAACTTTATTCCGGAGATTCACGTCGTGGTTTCCAACCTACACAGAACGACCCGCGCGCTACTGCCTCCTCGGCACTCAACAGTTTGCCCACGCTACGCTAGAACATGACCCAATAAACCACGGCAGTGCTAGTAGTACTAGTAAGCCGATAGTGCAGTAACCGTAGCTCCCGTCGGCATCTTGCACGACTGCGTATGTCGCGCATAATCCCCGCCTCGGACATAATCCTCGACAACCAGCCACTGAAAGCAAACCACAACCAAAGCGTTACACCCCAGGACAGACAATCTTTCTACCTAATACCAGCGTGTGCTTGTATTTTCTTTCCGTACTCAAACTGTACAGCGTGCACACTGCAAACCGTAACGTCGTCCCATCCGCGCTGTGGCTCGCAAACACCACAACAAGCCCAACAAAACACACGATATGCCTCCATCCTGCCACATACGACCATACCCATTGGAAAGCTCGGGATCCCGTCCGCTCTCCCATCAATAAACCAGTGAGGGTCAGATCAGTAATAGTTGGGTCGGTGATGACCAGCGAATCCCTGGTGTTGTATATTTTTTTGATTCGTTTTTATTTTAGGAAAATTGTATATTTTTATGAACAATTCCCTTTCTTCAGTCTAGAGTGTATGTACTCATCACTCTCTTTCTCGATTCATTCCTTCCTTCCTTCCTTCTATGTAATAGAGATGCTCATAAACTTTCTTAGAAGCGTAACCTCCACCACAGGAACGACCTGACCTATTATCGTCCCTGTTATATCCTGCAACCTCTACTCCATCACTATGGGCTGCCTTCTGAATGTCATCGCGAAAAGCTGGTATACGCGCCTTGTGCATGCCTTGTGTATGCATCCGTCATTCTGTCCCGTGCCCATGTATAGGTATGTTATGCCTCCTGGGGAAAAAGGAACGCCAATCTCCATGCAGTTGGGTGTGCTAAGTGTTGCAAGTAACGCCAAAAGGGAAAAAATGACCTCACCGCTTGCGCATAATCACAACCCCACAGAAGCCATTGGACTTCAAGCCCCTTTCACCATGGAGGAGTCCTCGTCACTGTCCGGCACGTAGGCACTGGCTTTGACCTTGCACCGAAGGATACATCCGAGGTCCGGGCACTGGGCATGAATCTCCACCTTCTCTGCGTCGCTCTCCTCGTCGGCCACGCGACTCAACGTGTAGTCGCGGCCTTCCGAGTCGGTGAGCATGCCCACGATCTCGTTGGTGAGGATGATGATAGGGGCCCACGCCACGGCGCCCCGGCCGTCGCCTCTGGCGGGCGGGAACCCCCTGCAGCCAACCGCGAGGATCGAGTCGAACTTGGGCCCGAGGATGTGCGAGAAGGCGAGCGCCGCGTCGAGGCTTATTAGGTCTGCTCCATATCCTGGCAAAAGGGCCGGGGGCGAGGGCAGCACCATGCCGCTCCACCGCGCGCGGTACTTTTGCATCTGGGCGTCGCGGTCCGCGCCGGGCGTCACCTGCCAGGCCAGCTTGACCATGGCAGTGCAAAAATGCCAGAATAGCGCCGCGTCGAGGGCCTTAGTCTTGCGGAGTTGGACCACGCGCTCGTCGAGGTCGTGGAACTTGAGCGCGACCACGTCGTCCGGCACGCCAGCGACGGGCCGCAGCATGGGCGGCACCCGCTGCTTGCCCTTGCCAATCGGCTCCCTGACGTCGTCGAGGTTGGCCCGCGGCGTCGCGAAGATGGGCTCGCCCAGCAGCGGGTAGTCCGGGTCCATGATGCGGGCGACGTAGACCGGGCGGCCGTCGGCGTCTTGCTGCCGCCCCGGCACGATGACTAGCATGCCCCGGGCGAGCAGGCGGAGCACGCGCGCGTTGGCGTAGATGCATTTCTTGGGCCCGGTAAGGTCGCGCGTGCTGCCGACGCCGAAGATGCGCTCGTTGAGCCAGGACGTGCCGTACACCTCGGGCGCCAGGTAGAAGCGTGCTACGGCAGCCCCGCGGACCGGCAGGTACTTCCCGATGATGACGTCCCAGTACTTCTGGCCCCCGCCTGGCGCGGGTGCGAACATGAGCGGGTCGTTTTCCCGCATCTCTATCCCCACCGCCTTCGTCCAGTTCGGAAACTCGTAGCTGACGAGCCGAACTCCGGCAGCGACGGCCGCCCACGCGTCGACGAGATTGGCATTGCTGACAGCCATGCTCGCCATTCTCCTGTTGCTGCTACTGCCGCCGCCGCCGCTGCTGCTGCTGCTACCTGTCCCCCTGGTGATGGATGCAAGGCAGTGGCTGTATATGGCATGCCGCGTTCTCAGGGCCTGGCGGGCCATGCAAAAGTCCCGCCTGCCAATCAGGAGGCGGGCGTCCCCGGAAAACAGAAACTTCTTCCCGTCGGCGTGCGAGGGCAACTGGTAGTGTGTGTTGCACCCCATGACGGAGAGCACGGTTTCGGTCCGGGCGACGGCGGTTCTCCAGCAGTCCGCCTCCCGCACGAGGCCGGAGTCGATTTTTACCCGCCTGCAGGCGCAATGTATTCAGGTGTGGCATCCACACCAGAGGCATTGCATGCAGCCGGTGCACCCGCACACCATCAGTGTGATCAGTGACATTTTGTTTCTGTTCTCGCCTGCGGCGGTGGGCAAGCGCGGTGGCTGGAGACAGGGGTGTGTTTATGTGTGTTGTGAGACGGAGACGGAGACGGAGACGGGGATGGCGACACTACGTGAGACGAGAAAGTGAGTGTTGTGATAAGAGGTAACGGGAAAGGAGGAAGATGGAAGACAGGATGAACTGTTGCTGGGTTGGTTTATATCCCCCGCTGCTGGGTAGCTGAAAAAGTCTGAATACGTCGAGAGTTTGTAAATTATCGGTTAAGAATCGCATACTTTTCTACAGAGATAATCAAGGCATCGGCAAGGAAAGCACACATAGAAAAAAAGCTAATATATCGTTCAGATAAGACATAAAGGAAGTTACTGGGGCTGTTTTGAACTGAACCCAGAGATAATCTCGAAGCTTGTCCAGCGTGAAACTTTCCCAAAGCCAATAGGTAAGTGCCCAACATGGAAGACACAGCGTGGCGTACACGGTATACATGGCCCACGCGTGTGCAACTTCACGCCTCTACGGTGCAGACTTGTGGCACAGCCAGGCGCAAACTGATCTAGCGTGGCAGACATTGGACCTGGGATTCTTCAAAAACTGCGGAAGAAAGCTCAACACCAGAGCACACACAGGCGCCGTCTGACCTCGAAAGGGATGGGGTATGGCTTAGGTATACAGCAGTTGTGCTCGTTTTAGTGTTTCCATGTGATCATGACCTAGGTGCTGTGAAAATCTAACCTCTGGAAGTCGTCTCGCGACAGAGGTGACGAATAGATAGATAATTTCTACACTCAAAGACTATCTCTTCACTTTACGATGGCCTGCCCTCTCGTCGATTATTTTAGGGTTGGTTCACTCGCTTCCACCTTGATATCTAACTTTTAGAGTCACGCCAACACGAGCCTTCATTAACGGCAAGGTCGGTTTTGATCCCCATTGAAGAAATCAACGTTTGAGCTAAACGGGTCCGGCAGTGGGCTGTTTGTCCAGACGACACGATAAGCTCCCTGTTTTCTAACAGGGTTAACGTCTTCGAACAACCTTGCGCCAAGCCGAACCCCATCAACACGGGAGTCAGATATCGACAATGCCGGTTTTGATCTCCATTGAAGAAATCAACGTTTGGACTGAACGTGCCGGACAGTGGGTTGTTTGTCAACGATACCCGATAGCTTTACTGTTTTATTTTATTTTTCTAGCAAGGTTAACGTCCTCAAAAACCTTACCTCAAGCCCACCACCACCTTTCTTACCGGCCACCAAGGTGGGGAGGGAAGTTCTATACCGTCGACAGCTGACATGTGGCTCTTGTCTATGTACTTCGTACATACAGCCCAAGACGGTTACCTGATCCACTCAAGTAAGCTCGGACACCTACTTAGATACCTACTAGGTTACTTGCCTGCTTTGTCTCGGTTCTTTGATTCCAAACCCAAGATACGTAGTTGCTTCCGTCATGACACGAAATACTTCCGACTTACCGAATCTTCTAGGAAGAGAAGAAAAGAAAAAAAAAGAGCATGTATCGCAAATGCCTCTTTCTATAGTATTGTAGAACCAAAACCTCTCGAGTCTAAAAGTCTTTGCAATGGAACAAAAAAAGGACAAAAAATCCGAGTTAGCCGTTCTTAAAAGGAATGGCCCCCTTTTTTTCAAAAATAGAAACACCAACCCCGAGCCTCTGCCTCTAGAAACAGGCACACAACCCATTCATATGCATGATGCAAAATGCGCTAAATAAATACAGAGATGATGCGCCTTGACCCGCCCCGCCCGTCCGCCCGTCTTTCTAGCCCTGAATGCTTGATTTTTTGTGCTCCGCGACTCCCGCCTGGTTCCCAAGGATGATGACCCCCAAGACTTCCCCCTCTCCAAGTTCCTCGTTCACCTAGTGCTGCCCGTTGGCCGTGCCGTTGACGCCGTTGGTGCCGTTTCCGAGCTTGGCCGTTGCCGTTGTTTCGGCGACGGCCAGCTCGAGGGCCTGGAGTACGTCTTTCTCGAGGTCCTCAGCATCCTCGACGCCGCAGCTGATGCGGACGAGGTCGTCGAAAACGCCGACGGCCTCGCGCTGGTCCTTGGGGATGCCGGCGTGGGTCATGCTGCTGGGCACCTCGACCAAGCTCTCGACGCCGCCGAGCGACTCGGCCAGGGTAAAGATTTTGGTCAGCTGGCAGAAGCGCTCGGCCGCCGCGTGGCCGCCGCGGATGCGGAACGACAGCATGCCGCCGCCCATGCCGTTGCGGTGCTGCTTCTTGGCGATGGCGCGGTGGGG